TCTCCAGTGTTTCACTCCGTTGTGTAATCTTAGAGGTATATTCACACCAATTTGTGTATTCCCACTACAATCGATCGACTGTGTGTCACGGAGTATGACAATTAGGCGACTGTGTTCTTTTTCATTCTTTCGTCTCACACATCATCTTCAACACAGATCCAATGCTAGTCGACTGTTTTGCACCCATCACCAACACTGAACTGTTCGTCAATTAATCAGACAAAACCACACACACACACACACACACACACACACAGAGAGAGAGAGAGAGAGAGAGAGAGAGAGAGTATGATCCTGCGTATTGTGTCTCTCATGTAACTACAACTCACGCACTCATTTGTAGATTACCAATGTTGGTGGTGAGTCTACTCGAGCTAAAAAGGATTGGTGTAGCCTCGTAGCTTACATCGAAGTCACACCTCACGATAAGTACATAACTTGGCTTAGACTATCGTGATAACCAGGCAATGCAGCTCCCTTAATGACTGTCTAGAAAGAGTGGAATCTTGCCGAAAAGCATAGTTTATCGGAGAGAACAGACTACAGAGGTACAGAGTAATGACGCTGCCACATGAACTAGTCTGTGTTATCCGACTGATTCATCCGCATCAGTCATACTCGACCTTGATGATGTTGAGCGAATTGTTCAACGTTCAGTGATCTGCCGTTGAACGTAAAACACGGTTCGACTCGATGGAGGATTTGTCTAGAACTCAACGGCACTCCACTGGCCCTACACATTGAAGCATATAATGGATTCGTGTCTCTCCACATTTCCATCCACAAAGCCAATGGACTGAACACTCTTCAATAACTGTTCCCCAAGTGTTTCCGTGTTAACCGTAACATTTTGTCAATTGTCGGTTAAAGAAATGCTTTCAGATTCCATATGCAACCATTAATTTGATCTGTTTTACTTCTGTGTTGAGAATACCACAAAGAATTCCCACTGGCCACCAATCACTGGGATAAAGAAATCATTAGATTACTAACTGACTAACTATCTAACTAACCATACAGAGATTGAAATAAATAGAGAGTCTTCACTCGACCTTTATGTCACCGATGAACGTGCACAGAAAGAGTACAGAATGAAGGAAGTGGCAGTGCTTAACCGGCTTGTTATATCGATTCAAACGGTCGACTGTCAACATTGAAAATGGAATATGTGTGCACGTGTGCGTGTGCGTGTGCGTGTGCATGTTCATCTGCAACACACATAGGAATGTCGGAACAAGTCTGGAGAATTTGGAGATCATATGGGAAACCAATGGAGGAGCAGTGTGTGAATGGTATAGAAAGGCGATATTCCATCGTCTTCTCCACATTGTCCACCTCATCACTGTCTTACTTCCACACCTTCTCCTATAATGTTCGCACTCATGATTGGCGTGTTCTGGGACGAGTCACCTGTTCATGTCGAAGGTAGTAGAGGAATGAAGCAGAGAGAGTGGAATGGACACGAATTGTTAGCGTGAATCATCTACGCCTCGTATATGGATGTGTGAGGGTGTTGACGTGTGTATCAGAGAGCGATGATGTCGATGAAAATGACGGGACGGCGAAGGAGGTCCTTGCGGCCCGCTGGTTAGGCAGGCCACCCACCGAAGCAGGCTTAATTCTCCGTAACGAAGTAACCACCTCCATTGCCCGACGAACAACTACTGTGAATTCTCAGTCATCAACTTCGCATCATACAAGTGTGAACCAATCAACACACAATATGCACATCATTGGTCATTCAATATTGCAATGATCATGTGTGCGACAATCCATACGTTATTCAGTCAGTCAGTCATTGATACAGTTGTTGAAATGCAAACCGACTCTCTCTACCACTTACCCTGTGTATAGTCAGCAGTGTGTGACACATCATAACGACACTGGCATTTCACTGGAATATGGGTGTTAACTATCAATAAGACGAAGGTGAGAAGATATGACAAAAAATTGAAAATTTGACCATCCGATTTGTCCTACTCATCAGTAGTATGGTGTGACATGTGAAAGAAAAAACCACCACCAAACTGACCGACTGCCTGACCTAACAGTTCACATGGCAGCTGACATTGAGTAACCCGGTTATAACAACAATTACACTTCTCAACATCACAACATCTCACCCATTCCCACTCTCTTATCACCAGAACAACAGAACATCAATATCGATCCAGTCCGTAGACTCCAAATCCATCATCTACAGTTAATCGAACTGATATTTCAAAGATATTTGACAATGTTTATTAAGCTATCCCACTAACGAAACCAAGATGTGCGTGTCCTGTGCTCAGTCAATACCATCTCGATTTCGATGGAGTAAACGGGGTATCACTGCTCTCCAGTGTTTCACTCCGTTGTGTAATCTTAGAGGTATATTCACACCAATTTGTGTATTCCCACTACAATCGATCGACTGTGTGTCACGGAGTATGACAATTAGGCGACTGTGTTCTTTTTCATTCTTTCGTCTCACACATCATCTTCAACACAGATCCAATGCTAGTCGACTGTTTTGCACCCATCACCAACACTGAACTGTTCGTCAATTAATCAGACAAAACCACACACACACACACACACACAGAGAGAGAGAGAGAGAGAGAGAGAGAGAGTATGATCCTGCGTATTGTGTCTCTCATGTAACTACAACTCACGCACTCATTTGTAGATTACCAATGTTGGTGGTGAGTCTACTCGAGCTGAAAAGGATTGGTGTAGCCTCGTAGCTTACATCGAAGTCACACCTCACGATAAGTACATAACTTGGCTTAGACTATCGTGATAACCAGGCAATGCAGCTCCCTTAATGACTGTCTAGAAAGAGTGGAATCTTGCCGAAAAGCATAGTTTATCGGAGAGAACAGACTACAGAGGTACAGAGTAATGACGCTGCCACATGAACTAGTCTGTGTTATCCGACTGATTCATCCGCATCAGTCATACTCGACCTTGATGATGTTGAGCGAATTGTTCAACGTTCAGTGATCTGCCGTTGAACGTAAAACACGGTTCGACTCGATGGAGGATTTGTCTAGAACTCAACGGCACTCCACTGGCCCTACACATTGAAGCATATAATGGATTCGTGTCTCTCCACATTTCCATCCACAAAGCCAATGGACTGAACACTCTTCAATAACTGTTCCCCAAGTGTTTCCGTGTTAACCGTAACATTTTGTCAATTGTCGGTTAAAGAAATGCTTTCAGATTCCATATGCAACCATTGATTTGATCTGTTTTACTTCTGTGTTGAGAATACCACAAAGAATTCCCACTGGCCACCAATCACTGGGATAAAGAAATCATTAGATTACTAACTGACTAACTATCTAACTAACCATACAGAGATTGAAATAAATAGAGAGTCTTCACTCGACCTTTATGTCACCGATGAACGTGCACAGAAAGAGTACAGAATGAAGGAAGTGGCAGTGCTTAACCGGCTTGTTATATCGATTCAAACGGTCGACTGTCAACATTGAAAATGGAATATGCGTGCACGTGTGCGTGTGCGTGTGCGTGTGCGTGTGCGTGTGCATGTTCATCTGCAACACACATAGGAATGTCGGAACAAGTCTGGAGAATTTGGAGATCATATGGGAAACCAATGGAGGAGCAGTGTGTGAATGGTATAGAAAGGCGATATTCCATCGTCTTCTCCACATTGTCCACCTCATCACTGTCTTACTTCCACACCTTCTCCCATAATGTTCGCACTCATGATTGGCGTGTTCTGGGACGAGTCACCTGTTCATGTCGAAGGTAGTAGAGGAATGAAGCAGAGAGAGTGGAATGGACACGAATTGTTAGCGTGAATCATCTACGCCTCGTATATGGATGTGTAAGTGTTGTGTTTTTTCCATCAGTGCGTGATTTTTTCATCTGATTTTGTTACTTTACTTTTTGTCTCCTATTGCTCTTTGTTTTCCTATATATATGTATATTCCTGTAATTTTTTATCATTTCGTTTTCTTGCTTGCGCTTTCTTGGTAATTTTTGATTGCTTTATTCGTCAATTAATCATCTTTTGAGTTGCCATTGATTGTTTTATATTTTTGATAATACATTTTTTGTTGATACTTCCAATGGAATACCTAATTTGATTGAGCTTGTATGTTCTCTGTCCGTCTCAACTTGCTAACACTTTTCACTTCATTATCCATTCCATAAACTTGCTGTTTCCAAAGAAGATTAAATTAGATATAACTGCCGCAAAATATTGTGTAACTGTTAAGTAACTAGAATATATATGTTTATCTTTCTTTTATCATAAGCTTTACATTGACTTATTGGCTATTATTGTATGATTTTTATTCTTAACTCATCCCAAATCTTTTGGTTACAGTCTCTCACACTCACAGTCACTCTTGGCTTGATCTTGTATAATGGCTATTTTTATTTTACGGCGTGATACGGTCTGGTTTGCCTGTATATACTACGCATGTCTGGAATATATTATTTCTACAGTGGAGGCTGAGACTGAGTTCTCGACTCAATAGACAGGACAAAGCGCGAAGGACCAATAAGGATTTAGAGCTGATATAGGGCTACTAGTGTTGTTTAACGTTTCACTGATCTAGCACAAGGACAAGGTCATATAAGTCGGTATTCTGACTGGTGATTTTGTCACGTGATAATTGACGGTGGAAAAAGTCATAACAAAACCACTTAACAAGATAAACGAGTCTTCAAAACTCAATCAGTTAAAATTCGTGGCATAGACCAGTTCGGTTCTTTACTGTCCAACACTTTTGATATTCATGCATACATTTAATTGTGTTTAGTGTTCTGAAATATCAGCAAACAATGAATGTTGTTATGATCAGTTTGGAATTGAAATATTTAAGTTTTCATTTACTGGTAAATCATGTGCAAGCTTCTCTCAATGACCAATCAGATATACGTCTTATCAACCCAGCTTATTTTGACCTTAATCTAAACTAATCGCGTTAATGAATGTAAGACAATTATCATTAACCAATCATATTAATGTCTGCGGTCGTGGTCAGAATGAAATTTTTCAATGTCATTTTACATCTGAATTATGTATACATAACAACTACCGTGACGTCAGACACTTGTGGGTGATTTCAAAGACTAAGAAACAAGTATTGAGGTTCTGTTCATATTCTCGATTGGTGTTCGTTAGACTTTATTGATGGAAAATGGCTCAATGTGTACCTCCTACAAACAGTGCACAAGAATGTGAATTGAGGACATCAGAAATACCGACTCAACAATTCATCACCACCAAACTTAGCGTAGATGAAATATTGAATAAGTATGTTGGAGAATATGGAGTTTGGCAATGGAGTATTGTGTTGCTAATAGTTTTAAGTTCTCCTCTAATGGTAACGTTACCTGTATTTGTTAATGCAGTACCTGACCATCGTTGTCGGATGGAAGATCCTATCGAAGAAATATTCAGAGAATACAATTTAAGTTTTGAGGAAGCCGCTGCATTTGTGGGTCCATGGGAAGGTGAAATTCCTGTAACAATGATGGGTTGTCTGAGATTTGCATTGGACTGGAGCAATACAACCCTCATCGAAAACCTACTTTTGAATAAGTCGGTTGTTTCATTTATCGATCGTGAATCGTTGAAAACTAAAGCGTGTGTCAACGGTTATGTATATAGAAGTAAAGAGTTCCAATATCCCAGTACTGTGGTAGCGGAATTTAACTTGGTTTGTGATAAGAGTATGCTTTCGCCTCTTGGAACCTCTCTTTTTATGGTTGGAATGTTGTTTGGATTCATTTTCGGTGGTTATTTTGGTGACAAATTCGGCAGACGAAACGGTGCAATTGTATTCTCTATCATTGAATTATTTGCAGCGGTTGGTGTTTCCTTAGCCCCTAATCATCATATCTATCACCTGATGAGAACAATTGTTGGGTTTTCTAGTACAGGAAAAGCCGTCCCCCTACGCCTATTACCAATTGAGCTAACTAATGCCAAATATCGATCATATTTCACATCGTTCATTGTTTTGGGAATTGTATTTGGACATCGTGCTATAATGACTGGAATAGCTTATTTGGTACGAGAATGGCGTCTTCTCAACGCCCTGTCAATGATACCATGTCTCACATGTTTCATATACTTTTGTCTTTTACCGGAATCACCACGATGGCTATTATCTCAGTATCGTGTTGAAGAAGCCATCACAATATTGAGAAGAGGGTGTCGTATCAACCACATTTTGAAGAAAGACAAATCAAAATTATCACAATTCGACAATTACCTGAAAGATTTAAACAAAAACCAATCTCATATGGGAAAGTTATATGTCCATAGTGAACCTATAAGTGTTTCTGAACGATTTATTAATTTATTTAAATCAACCAAGAAAATTATTTGTTGTAGACGAATGAATAAAGCACTCATAATATGTGTTCTAATATTTACGATGCATTCGCTTGCCTTTCTGGGTATCACACTATTTAGTAAGTACATCAATTATAATGTTTATATAGTAACTCTTATCAATGCATTAACTGGCATTCCAGGACCAATTGCTGCAAGTGTAGTTTATAGATGTTATAAGTATAGACGATTTCCATTAATGTGCACATATGTAATTTCTGCTATATTATTATGTATTGGTGGTGTTTATACAGTATTATGGGAACCACTGACTGATAATGTATTGAATATATTCTGTAATGGTGCTCTTATTATGTATTCTGCTTCAACGATCATGCTATCGATTTATTGTGCTGAATTATTTCCATCATATATGCGTTCAAGCGCTGTAGGCATATCAAATGGTCTAGGTAGAATCGGTGGGATCATTTCAACACTTGTAAATTATACTGATTTTACTTTTAAACATGGTACGCCTGTACTGATTTATTCCGGTTCTTCAATGCTTCAAGCTTTCCTACTATACTGTTTACGTGATACAAGCGGTGAAGATCTTTCTGATGTTGACAAATGCATAGAATCTGCAACTGATGATCATGTTCATCAAAATGGATCTAATAAAAGTATTGATGCAGGAAGAGAAGAGTTTGTAATCAATTTGAAAACATTAGAAGACCGAATAAAATCGTCACCAACAACTGTAACTAATCTCTAGTATTTTCACATTTCCAAATGATACAATTTTAATGTAAACTAACTGATTCCAATAAAATTTCTTGAATTATGTTGTCATTAAATTTCATTATTTTTGTTAGTTATGTCCATAAATAACCAATCAAATCGTTGCCTTAGCTCCCACCACATTCATCTGGTCTGATGTGTCTGTAAACTTCCCTGATGCATGTGACCTGCCAACTGAAGGACATTATTATCCTATTATATTAGTGTGATTCATAATTTATATTCATTTTGATTGGACATGTATGTGCCGTTTCAATTAATGACTGTAATTCCTTTAATTATTGTACTGGTCTAATTGTTTGAGGCGAAGTTGTCGTTCTTCTAACTATAGAGTTTACATAGAATCTGGGATCGCCAGTATCGCGTTTACAATTCTAGTAGTTTATTTGTACGACCGATTAAGTCCTACAAAGTTTCTACCAGTATCTCACCAGAACTTCTTACGTTGAGTGCTGTTAAATGTTTACGAAGAAGAATCGAGACTGTTCAGACTCCTGAATTGCCGCCCCACTATGCAGGAACTCATAGTGATGACGAATTTAAAGGAAACGGCTACCGAATAGATCTCTTGTTAGACCTGGAATTAGCTAAAGTACTTTTAGCTCAGATAGAAAGAGATATTGAGCTAGAAAGGTTAGGTCAAGATGGAAGAGAACATTATAATCAAGTTGTGGCTGACAGGGTGATGTTGTACGAGTCTACATGTGCTTCACATGTAGTTGGTGTTCCTCCTGAAGGGAACTGCATCATAATGATATGTAAAGTTTAGACCTACCAAAGAGAGAGAGATCATAAGGTTTGATGGTAAGCCAATGACCTATTGGAGTTTTATAAGGAGTTTCGAAGACTTTTAATGAAAGCGTTGGATCCCGATCTAGGTTAAACTATTTGATTCAGTATTGTGATGGTGAAGCTAAGTCTACTATTGTTCATTGCTCGAGCCAAAAGAAGGCTATCGTAAAGCGTTAGAGCTTCACGAGGACGCCACAATTAGTCTTATTCACTACCACTATTGGTGCAGCCCATTCCGAGAAGTTCACTGGTTCAATGACACCCAATTTATGAAGTCGATCTAGCTCTTGTTCAACCACTAGGAGGGCAGCATGCGGTACACACCTCTTAGGTAGAAACACTGGCTTCGATCTCTGTCGAGAGGTAAGAGCAGCTCTAAATTTAGTACATTCTACAAGACCCTCACTAAATACCAACTTACCTCGTTATATTAATGCTTCCACTGAGTTTTCTCCACAACTTTCGACATACTGATGTTGTTGCGCATCGATTTTATGGGACGGTCTGTTAACTTCAGCCTATCTATCCAGTCAAGCCCAAATAAGTCGAGTGATAGACGATCCATCAAAAATATTACTCCCTTCTCCGTAAATTCCTTGACTGTGACTTCACAATGAATCTCACCGACACTGTTTAGCATTCCCCAGGATGCACTGTGTCCTGATTGATGAGTTGAACATATTCACAGTCTTTTAAGCGTTATATCGGAAGCTGTATCTAAGTGTTAGCGGGCGTCAAACCCATTATTCTTGAGAGAACTATACTTTCTACAGTTATGGGAGCCGGTTCTGTTAAGAACCGCCGTTACTTTGGCTTCCCGCGGTATTCAGTAGACACTTCCTGTAGGGTCATGCTAGGACAATGTTCGAGCTTGCTTAGAATTCTAGTTCGGATGTCAGCATCCTCGAGTGAACACAGGCTACAGTCAAATGCTAGGTATTTAAACTGGTCTTCTGTCACGGAAGGCAACTTGAACCTCTCACATTTTCGGTTCACAACTGCTGCATGTTTCACCCAGTCATCTTCTGGTTCTTGCGTTATCTTCAAGCATTGGTAAGGGATGTTAAATAAAGGTGACTGTTCTCCAAAGAGTTGAGACAGGGTTTTAATTGTTTCGTCAAAACTAAAGTCTCGTGGGTTCTTTGGAAAAATAAAGTTACTATGGCGTTCATGTTTCGTCGTGCTAAGTTTTCTTAGAAGCATTCTGACTTTTGAGGCGTCATCCAGTCTGTAGAGATCAATATAGAACAAACGTTCATATTTCTTAAACCAAGAGTCATGAGTAACACTTGCTACACTATCAAAATTAAATCCATGGATTGCTTTAATCACTGAATCAGTATGGAGTGCTTGTAATTCACCAGAAGCAGGGTTTTTCTGGGACAGGCACAATTTCTGCATAAGGGCTTCCATGATTCTAACTTGAGACTGATCGAAGCGCTTCTCTTGACGCTCCATATAATCTTCTAGTTCCTCGAAAGGAATATTCATTATAGTTTTCCCCATCGCCACTGATGAGTCTGCTTATTGAACGCTCGTCTATGTTCCTAAGCTTTTCCAGTAAACCCCAGACTACTTCTACACAGAAAATGGAACTCGAGAGAAAATGCGCGTAATATGGAAGAGACGCTCCGCTCCAAAGGTTTGTTTATGTACAGAAAATCTAGGGTTTTCATAATATTTTAGATAGCCTGCGGTTTCCGGAAAATTCAGGAACGCTATTAAACATGTTAGCAGTATAGATAATCATTTGATCAGAAACTTGACGTGTGAATTCTGGCAAAATTTCTAGTGAATGCTGATTGGATAAGATGCTTCTCAGAGGTTTCACAGAAACTGTCTATTTTTAGATCATATTAATTTGTTGAAAAATATGGTCGTTATAACCACGATCTATATGACCTATAATATTGAAAGCTAACAAAAGGTTAGTTTTAGAAGTATTGCTTTACTCGTGATCCTGTTTTCTTGATAGCACTATTACTTTTGTGGCATGTGCTACTGATGTCGACAGATATAAGTAGTATGTGTCATCAGTCGAAAGTGAAATGCCTGGTGGCAGAAGGTTAAGATGATCGAAGGAAAAAGAAAGAGAACACAGAATGATCGGTGTGAGAACGAAAGAGCAATGAAGTCTGATAAATATTTTGTAAATGAAGTATTTAAAGTATGGTTCTCAAATTTTACTAATATACTCTGTAATTTTGTATTCAAATACATTTGATTGTCCCCACTTGTGCTCTCGTTCACTACAGTATTACCACATGACTTGAAATAGATACGCACATCATCGACATCTAATAAATATTAACCACAGATTTCTGTGCAAACTAATCAAGAATTTACGATTCACTTACATGTACTGACTAGTAGTGACTGAATTACTGATTCTTAAATAGTTATTGTAAAAATGGAGAATTGCACTTATCGTCAAGTGAACAAATAAATCTGACAAGTTGTAGCTTTTCCTCCTAAGCATTTCCTAACAAAAATTCATATCACGTAAGAGCCAATCATGTGTGATTTCGATGTCTTAAGTAGAAAGAATTTTTCATATCACTTGAAAACATTTCAAAACAACCAGAATCACTTTGATTTTGTTGAATTTACATGCTGATCAATAAGTAAATGAAGTTCCATTCCAAGTAGATTAAGTTACTTACACCAGTCTCAGATTATTCAATTATGGAATTAATTTAAACAAATTCTCTCGATAATAAACATTAGGAAAATCACAAATGCTTTGTTGAAAGTGTTAGTGCTTATGTTTTTAAATGAAACTAACTTCTTATTGTTTATAGGACTCCTTCTCTTTATTACACTGGTTAAAGTAATTTGAATCGACTCTGCAACAACTATCCAAATCAGTCTTCAAACACTGATTATTACCAACCGATGAGCTTTGAAATGTGATACTATTAAGATATGGAGCTCTTCCAAATTTCAGCCTTTAATCAGTGATAATGCTCTGGCTAATATTAATTGTAGGTATGTAACATTTTTATAACTCTGATGGAGGAAATGATCACACAGATGTAAAATAAAATAAACATAAATAAAACTGGTACATCTATAACGTTTCATATCAAACAAGTAGCAATCATAACTACTGATTTGTAAACTACGATTAGTAAAATATGAAATGATTTGTGTACTACACGTGATCTATCGATTTTTAAGTGTGATATCAATACAAACTTTTGAAAGAGATCAATGCCGTGTACACATACTGATGATAGGAGTTCAAGGAAATGTTTGAACTGAAGAGCGATGAACAAATCAATCAGATTATTTGGTGCATAATGCACTAATCACACATCTATATAATGATAAAGTTTTCAGCTGGTTAAATCAGGTGAGTAAACATACTGTTACCACAAAACTCTAATTGTCAACTTGATAGAGACATACTTTAACACTTGCTTGACAGACATGGATGCATGTGAAGTGTTCTGAGGAATAAAATTCTCATGAACATGACCACAGTCAAACAATTAATCCTATAAACATCAAATACAAAACAATCAGTGGCTTATTATTCAGAAGCACCTCACCAACTCTAGTCAATTTTTCTTTTAAAGAGAAATCGTCTTTTAAAATAATTTACACAGTGAGAAGAATGCGATCAAATGGAGATCGAATGCAAAGACTTATACACTACTGAGGTGTTAGCAATTCACCAATTTAAGTCTGAACTTTCAGTGCGAGAATATTAAATAAACGAATACTCTGAATTATCTGGTGTTAGCTGGATAGACCTGATCAACATGAGGTCCTGTACTTATCTTAGCTACAAAAAAATTTCATATCATCTACTTTTTCTGTTAGATAATAAATTTGTTAAAAGGAGTTTCCTCTTAACTATCAATGTCAATCTCATGCATATAACATATAACAGATACCAGACTAGAATTTTCACCGAAATAAATTCCTCTTGTGACCTTTTATTTTCAAAGTTACGTAATCTTATTAAGATGAGTTAGTGAATGTGATGAAAACAAATTTGTCAGTTAGTTTCTTCGTGTGTTTAATTAAAGAAAAAAGTAATACGTGGAATTCATGAAGTGTATCTAATTTGAGTAAATAAATTAAATCAATAAATCATCAGATCAGGTAAAAACAAACAAACAAACAAACAAACAAACAAGCTTAACCAAATGGTGAATGATTAAGTTAATTATATTTTTACAATGTAC